CTGCGTGAATCCAGTGATTAGTTAAACGGAAGATTTTTACCTTTTATGCAATTATACCTAGGTAGGATTCCCCTACTATATAGGGGAGAAGGGGTCTGATTATTCAGTAGGAATATTGTAACACGCATACCAAGGAAATATACTAGTATTTTTCTGTTATTCAAAGCTCTTACGTTTGTTGATCAGTGTTCCATTATTATAAGTCAGGGATCGAAGACGGATACCTCATTGAGGCTGCCCTCGAGTCCAGAATCATCCCCATTTATTTTCAAGCAGTTTGACAATTTAATTACATCTCTTATCTATTTACTCTAGCAATATTTATCTTTTGTATTGAATAAATTCGCATATCCTTAAAATTACTTACAAATTTAATTGTTATCTATTTTTTAGGGTAAAGGTGAAAAAGAAAATATATGAAAGAACAATGAACTTTGGAAATCATTTGGTTGGTCACGTGGACAAAAATAAATCCAGTATAAAATTCAATATAACTAGTAATATGTACTTATAATGTTAAGCTAGTCGTAGTATACTAATTTTCGCATGTTCTTTAATCAATACAATGTTCGTTTGGCGGCATCAACGCATAACTAATGCAGTTGTTGGTTGATGTTATTAAAATTTCAATTGCTAACGTAAATTATTTCATAGGGCATATATAATATGACATAAAAATATATGTATTAGCAATAAACAGACAAGAATATCTCATGAAAAAAAAATATTCCTTAAAATAGGTAATCCATACCTAACAATTCATGTATTATTCCTAGGTTCGTAATACTTAATACTCCTACATTGTTATTCATCGCCTAACAATCACAACAATGTTATTCACTATATACAATTCACGTATTTATAAATCATGTATAACTAATTCATACGTAAATCAAAACCCTTAGTTTTTTCATGGCTTTTTGCATAACTTTGTGTAGTACGTGTACCCATGTGCGTGGTCTCTTCGCATAAATTAAGCTAGTGTTTGGATATAAATTTAGTTGAAACTTGAAAAAATAATTTTTGAAGTAGTTTTGAAAAATAATTTTTGGAAGTTGAAATTATGTTTGGATATGCATTTTATTTGAAAAAAAATTGAAGTTTTGTGATTGGGAGAACAAGTTTCACCCAAAATCTACCCTAAACTAGATTTTGAGAACTTGAAAAATAATTTCAGAAATTTTTCAAAATAAATCATTAATCTATGAACAAACAATATTTTCAAAAAAAATTTGAAAAAATGTTGCCAAAATGTATGGTCAAACGGGCCTAAGGGTTATTGATTAATCTATAGGGATTTGGTAGTGGCTATAAGCAATGAGTAATTAGATTAGGGTTTACAGCCCTTGATTTTACTGAGCTGAGCTGGGGTGGCCTTAATCACATCAGCAAGGTGTCATACATCATAATCGCAATTAGATTTTATAATTATAAATAATAAATCTTCCTGCGTCGAGTCGCATCACACAAAGTTGCCTCTTTGTTTCTTTTTATTTATTTGAAGAATATTCGGCAATAGACAATATGAAAGATTGAAGAGTCAAAGTTTGAAACTAAAATATTGATTTCAGTGTCCTTTCTGACCCTTCAAAAGGAATGTGCTTTAGATGTTAAAGTACCTTACCCGCGTGCATCAATTTTATAAATTTCTCCTTTTCCTTCGCCAGCTTGATTTTATAAGCAAAAAAGAAAAAACAATTCACATTAAGCTTCGTCCAAGAATTTAGAAAGGTAAAATCTCGAATTTTTTAGTTTATAGTTAGACGAGCGTTAATGGTAAGAAAATTGTATGAATATTAATGATTTCGATCTCAAAATATTGGTCTTGACAAGTTGATTTTGCGTCAAAATGTTTAACATTTTAGAAAACAAGAAGTCATTTATTAATTCTTCCAATTAGTAGAGTGTTAATTGAGTAAGACATTTAGAGGTAAAACGTAATTGGACAAATACTCCTACGATAATATAATAACTTTTGTTTTTTTCTAAGCGCCAAAAGACTTGTGTTTTGCTTAAAGGATTTTTCCCCCATTTCTTTCCAATATTTCAAATACGTGACCATCAATTCTTGCTAACTATCCGTATCGGATGTTTATTCAGCTTAATAAGTATAACACATGTTTTTACAGAAATAGTCATCAAAATAATAATAGTTAATTAATATATATATGAAACCTTGATTAATCACTTAACGATAATAAACTTATCGTGTATGATTTAGTGCAAACATTCGATGCGAATAAATTATTAAGTTGAAAGAATATGTACATCTCTCTAACCTTTGTAATGATGAATAGTCTGCTAGTTTACATCGATTCTCAATAGTTTAATTATAGTGTCCTCAATTTAAAGCGATTAGAAAATTTGAAAGTTCAGATTCTGTGGGTAACCTGTAATAACCAATCCGTTGGCCCAAACATTATTATTCACAACTTATCCAGTTGGGCAAAAATCACTTTTAGCACACGATCGAAATAAGTTATATTCGATAACCCACAAAAATGTATAAAATTTACTATACAATATCATTTTCCCTATCTAATTGGTAGAACCGACCAAATAACCAAACACGATAACATCTGAGTCTCTTGCAATTTTAAAATTATTTTCTTATTTAGCTTCAATTTTCTGCACTGTGATATCATTATCTCATACATTTTTTGGTGACATTTCTCCTCTTAAAGTTCAAGCGATAAACAAATTGTTGCTTATTTATTTTTGCAAAAGCACACGTTGTATATCCAATCCTTAACATTGAATTATTTTCCAACTGTTCCTTTTTAATATTGCTACAAGTATATTCCAATGTTGATTGCACTTAATTTAGTAGCGGACCCAAATTTTGCAAATAACAGAGACAACTCATGCAGGAAGACACTGTAAGAATATCTTGATGTAAAATTCACTCATGCAACTTAAGAACATTAAAAATGCAAACAATTAAGAACCACAATACTCCGTATATTTTTTTACTTTGTATCTTTCTATTTTTCACAATAAGCTATTGCGTTTTCTCAAAAGCTAAAGTTTCTGAATATTTCAGGGAATATGAGCCCCACATGAATATCCCAATGTCAGAAAGTGCGATTTCTACGTGGAAAATTGATGGATAATAGAAGATACTAAAGTTATTTGTCTAACCCTAATGTAAATGAATAAATTAGCAAGCTAATAATTAAATGCAGGTGTCGATGTTTTCTGCTGGCCAATTAAGAAATAATATTACATGTCAGAAATGATAACATTGTCTCTTTAGTTTGTCACCGACCAACATATGACATTATAACAAAACACAAGGGATGACTAGATTGTGCTCTTTGTTTATGAATAGTGACCTCTCATTGTAATGAAAGGGTAAAGGATGAGAAAAAGAACTTGCACTTCCATAGAAATGGAAGACATTACTTTTTGTCTCTAAATAAAAATAGCGGTATTTAAACGAAGAGTTTAATTTCTATGCACAGATAGTGTAAAAGATATTATACAATTAAATCACTTAAAAAATAATTGTAGGTAACTCTATTTAATAAAATTGATTGGTGACATAGAATAAATGATAAGTAATCTACTATACATATTAAATTACATTGATACTGTAAAGAAATCATTACACTATTATTGTATATGCCTTAAATCCTTATGAATCCATTGATGTGATTTAATAGTTTCCAAAGAGTTTATAGTGTTGTCTATGTATTCTAACTCTAGTTTGTAGAAGTTTAAATTTATCCAAAAAAAATTATTTTGGCCATAATATGTTCTATGAATTTTCCTTGTATAACTAACTTCTTACGAGTAAGATTGTGATGTTCGCAAAGGAAAGTGTAATTCTTGTACCTCGCAAGTTTGACCCTATATGGATTTGGGATCTAGCAAGTAGGACCAGTTTCAAACTTTTAATCCATCTACACTTCAACTGGATGTGAAGTTGAACTCAACAAAGATAAAAATAGTAAAATACAGCCCAGCTTGACGTTTACGCCAATCAGTTTGTTTTCCTATGGTTTTGAATTTTGATTATTATGATCACACATATATATACTATTAAACTTGTATCTTGTATAACAAGTCATTATTGATGACAAATATAGTGAGACTATCAGAAAGATAACTCAAATTGTCCATTTCTTCAAGCCTAACTCGTAATCTGGCATTGGATAAACCAATTCCAAAAGATTTGTTTTTCCGTGAACTCCTAAAATCGAAGAGAAAAGATTGAATAACACTTGAGATAACGCATTTCCATAATATCAAGTAATGAATATAGTTTGTTGATGTTATGGCCTAATTTACACCATTTTCTGGCAAGACAAGCTTGCCTATCTAACTGGATTCACAATTGAAGTGGAGCTATGAATACTACCATAGCCTTGACCCCATTGTTCACTTGTAGCAGACTTCTGAATTTAGATCTCATATGTTTCCTCTGTTTTTTGTTTTTGATAGGGTTGTGTACTTGATGATTTCTTAGTGATTCATGCCTCAACAAGACAGTTTCTTCCCCGCCTACCATAAAAGATAAAAAGAAGGAATAAGAGAACTTCCATCTCACAAACAATCTCCTTCATTTACATGAGCTTGGAGGTGTCAATCTCTGTAAGCCATTCACCTTTGGACTGAAAGACAATCTGTAGATACGTCAAGGTAAACAAAGCAAATCTTTCGATGTTCCACATATGAACATCCACTTGCTGTTGAATTTAAGTTTCTGTCAGAAGAAACTAGAACTGCATCAGTGATCAAGGAACTCGCTCTTCTTTGATAATTGATGGTCCTTGTAGCCAGTTGAGGACACAACATTATATCAAGAGACAAAAACGTTCAACATTACCTAATAATACCAGTTTCCTGTTTGTTTATATGCTGTTGGGAAAACGATTAATCATCAAGATTTCAGAAACTTAAGTAAGCTTCATCAAGCAACATGATCATTACTTAAAATTCAATAGCAGTACTCTGCATCACCCTCTTCATGAATATTCCATTGGCTTGAGAATATTTTATGAAGCAAGAGTGCGAGCGTCGTCTATGCTTCTTTTTTTCTTGCAGCCTTCCAAAAATATGCGCCATATTAGAGCATTTGGGGGGAAAGGCATCCCAGTGATTAACTGCTCGGCTTCTCTCAGATAGCCATACCTAGCCAGCAAGTCGACTGCAATAAGATAGTGATCCATCTCTGGTTCTACCCCATATTTCTCTTTCATCTGCTCAAACAATTCCATCCCCTCTTTCACTAACCCAACGTGTCTACATGCTGAAAGCACGGATATGAAAGCAACCTTATCAGGTCTAATCCCTGTCATATCCATCTCTTTGAATTTCTCCAATGCCTCATATGCATAACCGTGCAGTCCAAGGGCTGAAACAATGGCTGTCCATGAGATCACATTTCTAGTCGTTATTTCATTGAAGATCTTGATTGAACTTGCAAGACTCCCACATTTTCCATACATATCAATCATGATATTGCGAACAAATGTGTCACAACGCTTAAAATCAGTCTTTACAATAAGGCCATGAAGTGAGCTACCTAGACCGAGGTTACAAAGCTTGGTGCACACGCTAAAGAGGCTAACATACGTGTAGTTATCCGGAGAGATCCTAGCTATCCGCATGTGTCCAAAAAGTTCAAAAACTTCTTCGTAATCACCATTTCGAGAACAGGCTGCAATCAAAATATTCCAAGATATAGTATCCGGGTTTTCAAGGTCAGAAAACAACACTTGAGTCTTATCAAATTGCCCACACCTGTTATAAATGTTTGCAATCATATTGGCCGCGACAACAGGAAGTGTCATATCATAGGTAGTGGCAAACCTTAGGGCATCATCAACTGAACTATTTTTTGCATATGAAGAAATGAGACTGCTAGAGACGTAAGCATTATCAATGTAACCCATTTTTATTGACAAGGAATGGAGCTGAAGCACCTCAAATAGTGCACATGATTTCACAGCAATAGAAAATGAAAACTCAGTAGGTCGATAACCTGAGTTAATCATTTGTTGAAGCAGCAAAATAGCGTGAGAAGAGCTTTTGCTCGAGTAACCCAGCATCAAGGTGTTCCAAGAAACCACGTTCTTCTCGGATATTTCATCAAAGCAAAGACGAGCATCATCCAATTTATCACATTTAACATAAAAGTCGAGTAAAGCACTACCAATATATACATCAGATTCAAACTTTCTCTGGATTACTTTTGCATGGATGGACTCCCCAAGAAATCGATACTGCTGGCTAGTGCAGCAGTTTAGGGCACTCACATATGTCATATCATTAGGCAAGACACCACTTGCACACATTTTCCTGAAAACAACTAATGCTTTATCCGGTCTTTCACTCTTCGCCATTGCACCAACTATTGTATTCCACGACACAACATCCTTAACAGGAACATCCTCAAACATTTTCTCTGCCCTAACGATGTCGGAGCAACTTGCATACATGTTAATCAATGAATTACACACTGAAACTGCAAAATTAAGTCCATTTTTAACTACCAACCCATGTACTTGTTCCCCTAATATTAAATCAATTTCCCCAACATAACCGGACAATAGGCCCAAGAAAGTGCTCTCAGAAGGAGCCATTTCACTTCTTATTAACTTCCTGAAAATAACCATGGCCTCTTTAATACATTCATACTGTCCAAGTAAGGATATCATACAATTCAAAGTCACCAAGTTCTTTTTAGGCATTTCATCAAAAATCTGCATAGCTTCATCTAAGTATCCTTGCCTTCCAAGTAAACCCAATAATGCAGTCCCTGTGAAAGCATCAACGTGAAAAAGGCCCAATTTTTCAGCCAATGCATACAATTGAAATCCTTGAATAATATCCAAGGACTCACAACCCAAAAGCCCACCAAATGTAAACTGAGTTGGTTCATATCCACAACTCCTCATCTCAGTAAACAACTTCCAAGCTTCTAATAAATTCCCATTCCGACTATAAGCGCTAATCATTGTATTGTATGACACAACATTTCTCTTGAACATATTATCAAACACTTCGCGTGCTGTGCGTATATCCCCGAATGTAGAATACTTTGACATAATACTATTATGGGCCAAAAAGGGTTGAGTTGGGTCTGTCCCCATTGTGATTGTAAGTGCGTGAATGGTCTTTGTTGCGTCGAGCGATTGAACCCCATGTGGTTCTTGAAGTAACTGAATGAGCCTTTGGTGTTTGATATTTTCTCCATGAGAAGGGTGGGGGGATAGAAGGTTTTCAGTTGAAGCGGAGAAGTGAAATTTCAGAGCATAAGAGAAATACTTTTGGATGTTAGAATGAATTGAAATCCTTAAGGACACTATAATGGCGTTCGACATGCAGTAACATCCAACGAGTAAAACTCTTTCGGCCTCCTCATTTATCGGTAACTATGACTCCGCAGTATTGGCTCCAATAAATTATACATACGCGTAAGTATAACCTTTTTGGAATTGCTTAAATTTGCCACATATGTCTCGTTTTCTATATGTAAAATAGGATTAGTCCTCGCTGCTGACTTAATTGGAAATACTTAGATGAGCTTCTTTAATTCACAGTTGCATACTTGGCGCCTATCTAATCTATGTATGTATGTTATTATTATTATTATTTTATTTTTTTTGATAAACGGGAAATATTCATTAATAACTAAGGTGTTACAGGAGCATAAGGCATTACATTACTGCAATCATGGATAGCCAGTACACATGAGTTTCCAAGACTAGCCAACTTATTACACATAGATATAGGAACTATTCTAGTAGACGACAAGCCTTCTTTGTCTGCTTGAAGGATTGAAAACACAGACTTTGAGGGATAAGTTATAATAGATAGATGGTCACTCGTGGCTTGCTTGGATCCTTCATTTGCCAAAACGTGAGCTATTTTGTTTCCTTCCCAAAAATTATGCCGGATCACTAGATTCCCCAACCTCCTCAATTGAAACATGCATGAATCAATAATATTCTAATAAATAGGGATTTTTTGTTCAATAATTCAATAACCTCAATAGAGTCCGTTTCGATTTCAATGGGAATTAGGCGTTGGTTAGCCGCTAATTGTAGCCCATGTTCTAAAGCACTAAGCTCAGTGTGAGTGTGGTTGTAAGCATGAATCTTTTTTTAATAGCCTAAGACCCAATCACCATTTGAATTCCTAATGACACCTCCAATACCGCCATTTTGACCCTTCTAAGAAAAAAATCCATCAGTATTTAGTTTAAAAGATCCTGAGGCTGGGGGTGACCACCTGACTTGGATATTTTTGGTTAGAGTAGGAGGGGTTGTAGCCACGTACAGTACTTGAATTCCATTGCTGCACAAATACTACTCTAATGTCAGGAAGCAAGTTAGTTCCATTGAAAACATTACGATTTCTATTTTTCCAAATGTGCCACAAGGCAAAAGGGAAGAAGATATCCCAGGTTAGGGGAAAATTATGGATGGGGAGGTTAATGTCTTTTATTAGTTGGAGCCAGTGGGTCTGGTGATAGGGTAGAGTAGTGACATTTAAACCAAGGTCCATCCAAACTTTCCTGAATGGTTGCAAATGGCACAATTGGGATCTACGTTGACACTTATATGATGCAAGTAGTTGTTTGTAGGTAGCCTATTATGGGAGCAAAGCCACAGAAAGAATTGAATCTTATTTAGGGTTTTTAGGGACCATATCCAATTAAAGTCGAAGCTATTGCGGGGCACAGGATGCAGGAGCTTATAAACAGCCTTTGTGGAAAAGATACCATTTTTATTGGTTGACCAATAAGGAGTATCTATTCTGTCATGACTCAGAGAGATTGTTGTAGTTTTATTGATAATCTCGTGTGGGAGTTGGATAGAAATTCTTGACCAATCTCAGTTAAGGCCATCCCGGCACTATTTATTAATTAAAGTATAGGCCTAAAGGGAAGTATGTTGTGAAAAAAGTCTCCAAGAAAGACTTGTAGGTAGTGCTAGATTCTTATTTTGGGCTTTACGAATACCCAAACCACCTTGGTCCTTTGGGAGAGTGACAGTGTCCCAATTAACATAGTGAATCTTTTTTTTTTTGTGAGGTAGTACCCCATATGAAATTTCTTTGAATCTTATCAATACTACGATATGTTTTCTTAGGGAGCTGGAAATATTGCATAGGATATGATATGATGGAATTAAGAGTAAAATTTATGGGTGTAAGTCGACCGGCTGCTGTTAGAAAATTTAACTTCCAGCTAGTAAGTTTACTATATATATTATCAAGGATATATTGAAAATCAGAGGCTTTTGGTTTATGGTTGAGAATGGGAAAGCCAAGATATTTGCCAAAGGTATTAGTAGCCTTTACATCCAAAAGTTGTTGGACTAAGACTCGAGGGCTATCTTAACAGCCTTTGGAGAAAATGACCTTGGATTTTATTAAGTTGAATTTTTGCCCCGATAAGTGACAAAAGTGGCTCAAGCAGTGGTGAATCGAGTGAATAGATTTCAGGTTAGCTTTGGCCATGAGGGTGAGATCATTCGCAAAAAATAAGTGTGATAATTGAGGGCCATTTTTGATGAGGGTGATAAGGTCCTGGAGTTGGAGATCTACTTGATGACTAATGTAAGTGGAGAGGAGCTCCATACATAAGATAAAAATATACGGGGACATGGGATCCCCTTGAAGGATGCCACGGGACGGTGAAAAATAGTTAGTTTTTGTACCGTTAACAAGAATAGCAATATTACTAATGTAAATGCAGTTTAACATGAGCTTTGTAATCTTAGGGGAAAATTTAAAAAGATGGAGAGTACGGTAGACAAAGGACCACTCAATGCGATCGAAGGCTTTTTCAAGATCAATTTTTATGATAAGCTTACCCATAGTCCCTCTAGTTTTATTAATATGATTTAGAACCTCCTGGACAAGGATAACATTATCACAAGCCCTACGTCTTTTGAGGAAGCTGGTTTGGTAGGGACCAATAAGATCAGACAGGTAGAGCTTAAGGTGATTTGTTATAATCTTGGTAATTAGCTTATAAATAGTGTTACACAAGCCAATAGGCCAAAAATTCTTAAGATCATTTGCATTATGGAATTTAGGGATAAGGCAAAGGTACGTGTTGTTAATCGAGGCCGGAATTTGCTGAGTAGCAAAATCATGTCTACAAAGTTTGATAACAGAGTTCCCTACTGTGTTCCAATATTTTTGGAAAAAGAATGGATGTAAACCGTCTGGCCCAGGAGCCTTTGGAGAAAATGACCTTGGATTTGATTGGGTTAATTTTTTGCCCCGATAAGTGGCAAAAGTGGCTCAAGCTGTAGTGAATCGACTGAATAGATTTTGGGTTAGCTTTGGCCATGAGGGTGAGATCATCCGCAAAAAAATAAGTGTGATAATTGAGGGCCATTTTTGTTGAGGGTGATAGGGTCCCAGAGTTGGAGATCTACTTGATGATTAATGTAAGTGGAAGGGAGCTCCATACATAAGATAAAAATATACGGGGACATGGGATCTCCTTGAAGGATGCCACGGGACGGTGAAAAATAGTTAATTTTTGTACCGTTAACAAGAATAGCAATATTACTAGTGCAAATGCAGTTTAAGATGAGCTTTGCAATCTTAGGGGGAAATTTAAAATACTGGAGAGTATGGTAGACAAAGGACCACTCAATGCGATCGAAGGCTTTTTCAAGATCAATTTTTATGATAAGCTTACCCATAGTCCCTCTAGTTTTATTAATATGATTTAGAACCTCCTGGACAAGGATAGCATTATCACAAGCCCTACGTCCTTTGAGGAAGCTGGTTTGGCAGGGACCAATAAGATCAGGCAGGTAGAGCTTAAGGCGATTTGCTATGATTTTGGTAATTACCTTATAAATAGTGTTACACGAGCCAATATGCCGAAAATTCTTAAGATCATTTGTGTTATGGAATTTAGGGATAAGGCAAAGATACGTGTTGTTAATCGAGCCCAGAATTCGCTGAGTAGCAAAAACATGTCTACAAAGTTTGATAACAGAGTTCCCTACTGTGTTCCAATATTTTTGGAAAAAGAATGGATGTAAACCGTCTGGCCCAGGTGCTTTGTAGAGTTTAAAGGAGAATAAAGCTTGGGTAACCTCTTGATCAAGCAGGGGATTATCTAAGGGCGATAGGTCAATGCTGTGAAAACTAGTAGGGGTGGTTAGAATGTTGTTCCAGTTAGTATATTCTGGTTAGAATGGTCAGTTGTGTAGATATTCTGGAAGTATTGGTTAGTATATTCTACAAGTCTATCATGATCAGTGATCCAATTGCCTTGCGCATCCTTAATAAAGGAAACATTATTCCTTCTGCTTCTATTAAGAATGGACAAATGGTAGAATTTGGTGTTGGCATCTCCATCATTAAGCCAATTGATTCTAAACCTAATATTCCAAAAATCTTCCTACGTCCGAAGAATGCTATTATATTCAGCGATAAGGGTTTTTTCTAGAGACTGGAAAAAGTTACTAGTGGGGTATGATGGGGAAAGTTGGATTCCTTCTAATCTAGCTAATAATTTATTCTTTCTGTTAAAAATATTACCAAAGGTGTCTTTATTTCAATTAGTAACATTGTGTTGAAATAAGTTAATCGCCTTGGAGAGGTCCCTATATTGCCAACTCTCTTTTCACAATATGTTCAAACTCTGGGTGAGAGCACCTATAGGATTCAAGCCGGAAAGGTTTGTTAAGGGGTAGTCTAGTAATATTATTTGTTCTAACAAGCAATGGGTTATTGTCAGAGTGGGCTTTTGGGAAATGGGTGGTGGATACATTATGGTAGTTTACAAGCCATTCTTCATTAGCAAAACAACGGTCCAGTCTTTCAAGAATTAGACCATTGTTACTCCTATGGTGGTTTGACCAAGTGTAACGGCTTCCTTTAAAACCTAGATCAATTAAATTACAATGATTAACATAGACCAAAATCTAGATGATCGGGGCCTATTCATTTTCCTACCACCAAAACTTTATTCCTGTTTTAAGATGTCATTAAAGTCCCCTATAACTAACCAAGGCCCCTTATAATTGTTAGATAAGTTCTCCAGATTATCCCAAAGAATTCTACGGTTAGCAACTTTAGTACTAGCATAGATGATACTAAATAACCATGATGG